GGCCTCCCAAAGTGCTGGGATTACAGGCTTGAGCCACCGCGCCCGGCCCCACATTTTCTTTATCCATTCATTTCTTGATGGAGTCCGTATCTTGACTGTTGGGATGAGAGTGCAGATATCTCTTTGACATGCTGATTTAAATTCCTTTTTCTGTATACCCAGTAGTAGGATTACTGGATAATATGGTAGTTCTATTTATTTTTGAAGAACCTTCATACCATTTTACATAATGGCTGTATTAATTTACATTCTTACCAACAGTGTAAAAGAGTTTGCTTTTCTCTGCATCCTTGCTAGCATATATTATTTTGTTTGTGTGTTTTTATGATAGCCATTTTAACTGGGGTGAGGTGATATCTCATTGTGGTTTTGATTTGCATTTTCTTGATGATTAGTGATGTTGGGCATTTTTTCATATACCTGTTGGCTATTTATATGTCTGTTAGGTCCTTCTCTCTCTCTTTTTTTAAAAATAGGTCTCTACTTTTGAAAGACCTATTTTGAAATAGGTCTTTATTTTTGAAAGATAGTTTTACTGAATATTAAATTCTTGGTTGACAGGTTTTTCTTTTTTTTTTCTTTCTCTACTTTGAATATGTCATGTTACCATCTTTGGGGCTCCATTGTTCTAGATTAACCATCACCTGCTAATCTTTTACAGTTCCCTAGTACATGACGAGTTGTTTTTCCCTTGCTGCCTTTAACATTTTCTCTTTTCTTTTGACTTTCAACATTTTTACGATGATGTATCTGGTTGTGGATCTTTTTGCATTTGTCCACCTCAGAGCTAGTTGTTCCTTTTGGATGTGTAGATTGCTTTTCATCAAATATGGGTCATTTTCAGCCATAATTTTTTGAATGTTTTCCTACCTTTTTTTCTTTCTTTCCTTTTGGGACTACCTAAGTTGTGTTAATAATGCCTAAGTTGTCTTAATAATGTCACACATTTCTCTGAAGTTTATGGTAATTTGTCTTCATTGTTATATCTCTCTGACCTTCAGATTATAACCAAAAAGCAGGTTAGCTGCATGCTGCATTTAGAGTCTGATTAACAAGAGTAAGATCTGGTACAAGGAAAATGATTTATTCCAAAGCTAGCTTAGGGAATGAGGCACAAAGCATCCTGCCTTTATATGTGCTGCTTCACCTTTGGAGCAGAAAGCAGACACTTTTATAAGGTAAATGGGGAAGTGAAGGAGGGCAGGGCTCCCACTGCTAGCTGGTGCCTAATCTAACAGTTTAATTGGCACCTTCCTGGGCAGAAATAAGTTGTAAAAGTGGCCAAGCAGGCATGATTGGGATATGTTCTCCTGGTGGATGGAAGTCCCCCCTACTCCCCACAAGAGTGGCAACCCCTCGAGGGTGGAAGTTTCAAGACCACCTCCTGGGGGTGAAAGTTCACTGGCCAGTATGGTTTGGTCTGCAAATTAACTGTTAATTCTCTAGGAGAGATGTGTCTTGGAGGCTTAGTTAGAAGAACTTGCCCTGCAGAGAATGTCTGGTGAGGGGAAAGTGTGTAAAAGGTTAAATTTGCATTTCTGAAGGGCTAAGTAGGAAACAAACAGGAATGGGGAAAGGGGAGAAGATAACAGAAAATAATTTTTAAAATAGTAATTCATTCCTTTTTTCTTGGAAAAATGCAAGCACTCAGTTACAAGATTACGTAATCTGTATTCATCTGTCTTCAAGTACACTCATTTTTTTTCTGTCAGCCTAACTGATTGAGCCCCTCTAGTGGAATTTTTAAGAATTGTACTTTCAACATCTTGATTTCCTTTTTTAAAAATTTCCCTCTGTCGATATTCTCTGTTTGATAAAACATGACGACCATATCTCCCTTTACTTTTTTAAGCGTGTTTTCCTTTGCTTTAATTCTTTGAACATATTTTTATTGGCTGCTTTAAAGTTGTTGCCTACTAAATCTGGCAGCTAAACTCTCTCAAAGTTAACTTTTGTTTGCTGCTTTTATTTCCCCTACCAATAGGTCACACGTCCCTTTTTCTTCGCATATCTCTTATTTTTTTTCCGACTGAAAACCGGCACATTTTAGGTAATACTGTCAAGCGCATCCGTGTGAAGAGACACCAAACAGGCTTTGTGTGAGCAATAAAGCTTTTAATTTACCTGGGAGTGGGTGGGCTGAGTCCAAAAAGAGTCAGCAAAGGGAGATGGGGAAAGCGTTGCTTTATAGGAGTTGGGTAGGTAAGGGCAAATTACAGTAAAAGGTGGTTATCTATTGTTAGCAGAGGAGGGGTTGCAAGATGCATGATGGAGAGATCATAAGACTTATTGTCCAGAAGAAGAACGTCACAAAGTTGACCAGCTAAGGTAGCGCAAGGACAAGTCACAATAGTAAAATAGTATAATTTTAGTTAATCAGTTAAGGCAGGAACTGGCTGTTTTACTTCTTTGTGGTTTTTCTTTGCTCCAGACTTCTTGGCTCCTGCAGGCCACCTGGATGTGTATGTGCAGGTCACAGGGGTTATAATGGCTGAGCTTCGGCTCACAGGCCTGACAAATACATTGTAACAACTTGAATGCTAATTCTCCTCCTCCCCAGGCTTGTAGTGATAGTTTGCTTATTTGTTTACTGTCATGGCTCTATGACACTATTTTGGTAAACTGTATTCCTTCAGCATGTGCAGCTGAGATGTCATTCTTCAGTGGCTTTTTTGACATGGGCATAGTAATCCTGGGATCACAGTGGTTTTAGTTTTAGCAGGGCTCACTTTGTCTCTTTCCCTGCTCTTTGTGTTAAACTGTGTGCTTCAGTTGGCATTACAAAGCACTGTTACCCTCCACTAATTGCAGATTGATTGCTTTATTCTTTTCAACAGTGCCCTGGGACATAAATTGCCCCACCATCTGATCCAATGAATATGAGATCCTTTGCAGAGGTCATCTTTCTGACCAGTCTGTGAGGTTTTTCCCAACCTAGAAGGCTCTTCTCACTGTCTCATACCTTGATTCTCTCATAAACTTCTCTGGTCTTTGGTTTAGCTGATTCTTCTCATGGAGCTCCTAGTGTGTCCGGAATTGGTGGGTCCTTGGTCTCGCTGACTTCAAGAATGAAGCCGCGGACCCTCACAGTGAGTGTTACAGTTCTTAAAGATGGTGTGTCCGGAGTTTGTTCCTTCAGACGTTCAGATGTGTTTGGAGCTTCTTCCTTCTGGTGGGTTCATGGTCTCGCTGACAGGAGTGAAGCTGCAGACCTTCGCAGTGAGTGTTACAGCTCTTAAAAGCGGCGCGCCTGGAGTTGTTTGTTCCTTCCGGTGGGTGGGTTCGTGGTCTCGCTGGCTTCAGGAGTGAAGCTGCAGACCTTCGTGGTGAGTGTTACAGCTCATAAAGGCGGTGTGGACCTAAAGAGTGAGCAGCAGCAAGATTTATTGCAATGAGCAAAAGAACAAAGCTTCCACCGGTGTGGAAGGGGACCCGAGCAGGTTGCCACTGCCGACTTGGGCTGCCTGCTTTTATTCTCTTATGTGACCCCACCCACATCCTGCTGATTGGTCCATTTTACAGAGAGCTGATTGGTCTGTTTTACAGAGAGCTGATTGGTCCATTTTACAGAGAGCCGTTTGGTCCGTTTTGACAGAGTGCCGATTGGTGTGTTTACAATCCTTGAGCTAGACACAGAGTACCAGACAGAAAAGTTCTCCAGGTCCCCACTAGGTTAGCTAGATACAGAGTATCAATTGGTGTATTTACAAACCCTGAGCTAGACACAGAGTGCTGATCGGTGTGTTTACAATCCTTTAGCTAGACACAGAGTACTAGACAGAAAGTTCTCCGAGTGCCCAATAGCTTAGCTAGATACAGAGTACTGAATGGTATATTCACAAATCCTGAGCTAGATACAGAGTGCTGAATGGTGTCTTTACAATCCCTTAGCTAGACATAAAAGTTCTCCATGTTCCCACTAGACTCAGGAGCCCAGCTGGCTTCACCTATGGGATCCTGCACCAGGGCTGCAGGTAGAGCTACCTGCCAGTCCCGAGCTGCGCCTGCACTCCTCAACACTTCGGTGGTCGATGGGACTGCGCACCATGGAGCAGGGGGCAGTGCTCGTGGGAGAGGCTCAGGCTGCACGGGAGTCCACCACGGGAGCTGGGCGAGGAGTTCGGGCATGGCAGGCTGCAGGTCCTGAGCCCTGCCCCATGGGGAGGCAACTGAGGCCCGGTGAGAACTTGAGTGCAGCGATGGTGGGCCGGCACTGCTAGGGGACCTGGTGCAACCTCCGCAGCTGCTGGCCCAGGTACTAAGCCCCTCAC